CAGGCTGGTCTCGAACTCCTGAGCTCAAGTGATCCTCCCGCCTCGGCCTCCCAGAGTGCTAGGATTACAGGCGTGAGCCACCGCGCCCGGCCTAAGATACTATCCCCAATAGCACCTTGCGTTTTAAATACACTTGTTGTGTTGAATCTTGTAATCGGTTCAGTTAGGATCGCTGGAAACATATGTCCTCTTTGTAGAACAACAGTGATGTAAAAAACAGAGAGAGATTTTAAAAGAGGTCAGAGCATGACGTAAGTGTGCGCTGATCCAGGTAAAACCTGGAAGTGAATGTGTTCGAATAAATCCCCTGCTTCTTTTCATTTTTATTTTTGTCTGTGGTTTTCCCAAAATTAAATACAGAAAAAATTCCAATTATTGGACGCTTCCGCTTAGCTGAGTCCTGATTAACTGAACGGAGGAGGTATTATTATTACTCAAACAAAGCCCAAAGCAAGTGGATAGGACGCCTGTCGCACTTGGAAATGTGGCCTCAGTCCTGTCTCGTGGAGGTTGCTCTTGGCTCCTTCCAAGCCCCCACCTGGTCCACATCTGGAGTTTGCCAGCCTGTGCCCCAGCTCATACTAACGTGGTCTCACACAGTTTTCTACTTTTGAGAGTTTTGAAAGCCACGGCTCAAGCCCATCTACTCTTCCCGGCCATGGGGTCCGCTGTCCTCCAGCCACCTTGGCAGTACGGAGCACACACCCGCGCCACCCGCCGCCTTCACTTCTCAGCACCACCGGCTTGCAAACCCCCGCCCCCCGACCTGGGAGGTTGCCCCTCGAGAGGCAAACAGCACAGCGGTCACGGCCACGAGCTGCGTGCGTGAGCTTGGGCGCTAGATCACCAGGGTTCCAACCCTGGCTCCAAGCTCCGAGTGGCTCTGTGGCCTTCCCTAAGCTACATAATCCCATGATGCCTCAGTTTCCTCTTCTGCAAAATGGGGATGCCAACAGGAGCCACTTCCTAGGACACTGAAAAGATGGCGTGAAGGTGGCACATGTAAAGTACCAGAAACACATGCCGTGTGCAGTCATGGGCAACAGCTGTCAGCATCTCGGCCCTCAGTGTGGTGCCAAACGGTTCTACCACTAGGAGCCAAACTGTAAAATTCCCCCTACAACCACAGCTTTCTCTCTTTCACTCCTGAGGGGCCTACTTTTCATCTTGCGGGGATCCCCAAGACTCCTGATCCCCCCGTATTCCCCAGAATGAACCTTCATCATGCTCCACTTTAACAGGTGGCGTCTTCTGCTCAGTATCCAACACTCGCGCCCCACACCCCCATCCCACCCCGCCAGCCTGGTAGAAGCCTGTTATCTCAAGGAGAAGGAGAGAGAAAATGACACGATATTGAAAGGGGTAAACGAAATTACTCAAAGTGTCAAGATGGGGAGATTCTTAATGGGCTTTTGTTCAGCTTTCCTCTGTGTATCCATTTGCACGGTTCTGGACGCGAGAACGCCCACTGTCTTCCTCCCTGGAGGGAAGCACAGTAAGTTCTCAGCTTGCAACGTGCATGAAAGTCACCTGGGGACGTCTTACATTGTGCACAGGACACAAGGATTACAGAATGGGGTGGGACCCGGACATGAATTGCACAAAGGAGAAGTGCAGCTCTATACTCGGCCCGGCGAACTACAACCCAGGGGCCAAATCCGGCCCTCAGCCTGTTTCTCTAAATAAAGCTTCAGTGGAACACACCCACTCACTGGCCTGCAAAGCCGAAAATATTTACCCAGAGAGTGTGCCAATTCCCACTCCAGACCCGCAAGAATGATCTGGTGATGAAATTAGGCACCAGTCATTCGGAACAAACCCAAATGAAACAAACTTCCCCTACCTGCTCTCATCCCCCCAAAAAATCTACTTTCGGAAGCTGTGGGGTGGTTGCTGCCTGCCTGGCAGAACCAAAGGATGGTGCTGGAAGTCGGGACAGTGTTACCTCTGGGGGTGGGGAGACGGGTGGTGCCGGGAAGGGGCCTGGGGGAACCTTCTGGGTGCTGGGGATGCCCTGTAAGTTGATCTTGCATGCACATGCGTGCTCATCCTACATCAAATGCCATTTTTGTGAGTCTGAAAGAAGAGCTAGGACCCTTTTCATTTAAAAGGTCACTGAATTATCTAGAGCAGATAAATGCTTACAGGTGTCAGGCAGAGGGTATGTAGGCCAGACAGAAGACACTTGGGGCTTTCTGCTTCTTTCTCTGGTATCCCAGTTTTGATAGTGCACACAAGGAGAGAACAATACTCAGCTACAATCAAGAAAACAACAGCGTCAGCCCCATGGTGACGGCAGTGAAAACAGCAGCTCAGTGCTAGGGAGGAGGGGAGGCCACTCTTGTCAGACCAGGCAACTGTGCAAACCAGACCCAGCACTGCCGGATTCGAGATCTTCACGAGAAGCCAGAAATCCAGACTTGCAATGGGAAATCTTGATTTGTAAATGATGGCAGCTAATTATTTTAACAAAATATCACAGGCTGTGTTTCTCACTGGCCTGCACACTGTCAGCTTGCAACCTCTGCATTAGAGTTACAAAATATCGTGGGCTTCTTCAAATGAGAGGCAGGATGGGGTGGTCAGAGAGGTCCAGGGCAGAGCTGCCGGAGAAAGAACCTGCACAGTCCCCCGAAGAAGAAACAGGGTCCAAGTAAGCAAACCATAGGTGCCAAAAAATGGTGGGGTTTCTGCCGCCCAAGGGAACATGAACTAAGATTCAGAAGCGGAATCCATAGTGACTTTTGCATGTACTCCTGGTGTTCCAAAGGAAGAGTTTTCACCAGAACAGTTCTTACCTGTGCAGTTCAGACGAGGGGCCTCCTGGCGGCCTGGGTGAAAACGAGTCCAGGAAGTGCACCCAGCATTTAATAATCAGACATGGTCATGCAGAACTTCAAAATAGCCTGGAATGTTCCAGAAGATAAGACTCTTGGGAGTCTCTTATACCGTTTTGCCCTTACACCTCATCGAGAATTTGTCAACTAACTGAATACAATTTTGCTCCTTGACCCTGAAGGTAAGTGAATATTCTTACAATGACTGAAAGTTCTTCAACGGCTCAGCCCCTGTTTAAGAT